AAAAAAAAAAAAATGAAGTAGTAGAAGGTACATGAGTATGGGAGACCATTGCCCCCTGCTGGCAGCATGCAGATACAGCAGAGGTTCTGCACACACCAGAACAGAACAATAACAAGAGAACAGAGCTAAAGAGATTTCCTGTGTCTGTGCTGTTTCCTGTACAGACTTTCACTGAGCTAAACTAGACACTCTGTTTCCTGTCTGCCCGTGGGTGACAGGAAGTGAGGTCACTCGCTTCCTGTTTAGAGGAAGTGTGGGGTTAACAGATGAGATTGTGTGAGGTTCAGTCTGTCCAACACTTCTTGTCTGTGACATGTTTATATGAGTTTGGCTGACTGCAGCAGACCAACCAATCAGACACTGTGTGGTCACATGTAAAACATCTGGAATTAATTCAGCAGGGTGGGATCGGTCTAAACGTTGGTCAGTTGAGTCTTGTTTCCGTGGCTCTGTTTAATTGCTGGTGTGTCTGTGTTGCAGCTGGCTGGCATTGCCTTCATTGCAGCAGGTTTCTGGGCATGGAGTGAGAAGGTAAGTGACGCTGAGGGGTGTGGTCTCAGTCTTTGTCTTGCTGAGAGCAAGTGTAAGTCTCGCGATGAGTCATCAACAGAGATGGGCAGTAACGCGTTACAAGTAACGTTACAAGTAACGCATTACTGTAATCTGATTACTTTTTTCAAGTAACGAGTAAAGTAAGGGATTACTATTGCAAAAACGGTAATTAGATTACCGTTACTTTCCTGTAGGAACGCTGCGTTACTGCGTTACTAAAACCGTGATTTTTTTCCGAGAATGTCTCATGACAGTGACGTAAGCGAGTGCGACGTTAGTGACAACAGCTGTGTGCAGATCAACAATGGATCATATATCGAGTGCGGGAGAGAGTATGAGTGTGCATCGTTTAAAGCGTGGAAGTGCTGACCATACTTTGAGTTTGATTCCATAAAAAGTGACAAAAACATTAGCGTCCGTTGTGCGTGGGAAGAAAACTTCTTTTTACAGCGAAAAAAACCCAAAGCAAGCACGAGTGCGCTACAACGTAATGGGAAATTCACAGAGAAACTCGCGGATTCTTCCACTGACCGCTGCGGCACACCTGCACCAGGGCAAACCTCCGCCTGCTTTACAGGTGAAAATAGAGCAACAGGACCGCTGAGTCTTTGATTTTATTTATTTTCTGCTGTGTTTTACTTGCATCTATTTACTGAGTGTAAATAGATGCAACTGGTTGGTTTTTTGTACTGTTTTTATCAATAAATCTGAGCAACAAAGGACATACACCCATGTGTGTTGAGTTCTCCCTAAGATGGCAAACTGAAACACTCCAAGTTGGTGACTTTTGGAGATTTATTTCCCTGGATGATTGAGAATGCATCAAGATGAAACACAAAAGGAAGTGCACAGCTTTTAGCAGCTCCCCCAC